GGTGTGCGAACAAAAAAAAAGACGAAGTGTTGAGGGGGGGGGGGGGGGGGCGCGGCTGCACAAATTGGATAGATGAAACATTTTGAATAAGTTGCTTGAGTAAAGTCTACTCAATCACCCGAGCAAAATATTAGAATCTGTTCAGTTATGATTCCATACCATACTACACACTTTCAAACCACAACCGCCATTTATAGAATACTTGTGAGCTCAAAGCTTGTATGGCAGAAAATAATGTAGCACAGTACAAAAGCTTTACTTTGAAATACTATATTTCCAGTTCTTGGCGCTTTTACTGGAGCCAGTACTTTTTACAAAATACGATCCCCTGTAGTAATTTTTGTTGTTTGAATATGAAATACAGCTGAAGTTTTCAAGGCCTCAAAAGTTTTCATCCAATCGCATGTTGGTTCGTTTCGGGACTGAGTATTTCATGACGATTCAAATTTGAACGATGTGTTCAACATCACTTGGGAGCATGTCATCGTTGGCCGCACTGATGACTGCGGTTGTGCAGCCGATACGAGAAAGAAGCAATCAAAGCCGATTGTTCACGGGAAATCAAAGACATCGAGGTCAGCGGGAAGCGACGACTCACCTTCTTTCTAGCAAACTGGAGGTCTTGGTAGATGCCGGATCGCAAAAAGCGTGCATAGCTGTCACTTTTCATGAGTGTGAATATGTGCTCCTGAAATGGAAGGGGAAGACAGATGAAGGGTGTGTTGGAAGGCGTTCACACTTGAACACACCGTGAACAAGAACTGTCCACGGAGGGTGGACCAATGGAGGCAACAAAAGTTGGGGACCGCTGATTTAGACAACCTCAAACTTTTCCCGAGCCACAACTGTGAGAGTATTGCCCTTTATGCCCGTCAGGTGTCGTCAAAGGGTGACTTGTTTCAATTCAGTCTAATGTGCTCAACTTATTTAGACTCACGCAGTAAATGTTCAAATGATATCACTTTCTCCTGTATATTTAAAGCTTTTATGGCAATAGTTTGAGGCAATAAATCAATTCGTTTGTTTCCCATTATTTCCTGTGGGAAACTTTCAATCGGAACAAAGAAACAGATGAGACAGTTTTCGACATCATATATGAATTTTGGAGTCGAGTTGATCTTAGAGTATGTGAGAAACATGGCACGACCATGACCTGAGCATCCTCAAAGCTGTAGCGCCCGGGGTCTTTCAGGTTTTGGCTGGTGCGCTCAAAGCTGTGAGAGTCCAGGTTGATAGAACTTGGCGCCCCCTCGGCTAGAAACTCCTGCCAGATCTCCTGCGCTCTGGCGGGGACATCCTGCAACGGCTGGCGCTTCAGATCCTGCACTGCCAACCAAAATCTGAAACGGTAACATGTGTGCTAACTTCAGTCAACAAAAATAATAAATAGAATCGATGCTTTGAGAAGGAAATGTGGCAATCTCACTTGAGGGTAAAGACAGATCCAGCAGAATGGGACAATGTTGAAAAACGATGAGTTACATTTGTTTTCTTTCTATAATGTGTATCTTATTTAATAAATACTAGTTGAAAAAAAAAAACACACTCAAAAATTGTGACTTTCAAAGTTTGTGGAAGTTAGCCTCCCCCTGAGCTCATGCCAGAACGAAACGACAGTCTCACCGCAAGTTCTCCGAGCTAAATTCAGTCTCCAGGAACTTCAGGAACTGATCTCTTCCTGCTGGGTCTTTGAGCGCTTCCTCCAAGGAGAAGCCCCACTTCTTCACTCGCTGCTGGGTGGGGTCGTGACTATTCCAAAGAGAAACAAAAAGAACACCCACCATGTCATAACACTGACATTCTTCAACCCCATTCAATGTCTATGTTGAACGGGGAGCGGAGAGCGTGGAATGGAGAGTTGCTTGTCGAGGTGTGACTCAAATCAAAATCAAAAACTCTCTGGTAGACCGTTACGTAAACACTTCCCAATATAGGTGGGCTGGCCACAGTGATGCTGTCACATGACCCTTTCATGCTGCGTGAGGGCGGTATGAAAAAAGGATTTAAGGTCCAGCAATGGTAGCAAACGGGCCTCAGAAGTTGTCTGTAAGTTGGCCGATTGGAAGACAAGATGCCAAAAACGTGATTTGCAGTCGACTTCAAGCTTTACCGCGCCGCATCCACATTTAAAGTCGACTGGTCCGTTCAAACCCCGAGCGACTGCTGTTGTTTTAGGGCACTCCAGTTCCACTCTATACCTTGCCTCCAGGTCCCAGAAGGTGGTGTCGTCACTGATCCAGGGGTTGGAGGGCTCAACGGCCGATACAAGCGGGTCGTACTCCAAGAACTGCTCGGTGTAGCCCATGAGACTCTCGGCCACTTTGGAAACCTTCATGCAGTGGCGGCCAAGCTGGAGGTTGAGGAAGCTGATCTGATGGAAAGATGCACTAATGAGAAGTTTAAATAAGGTAAGACGTCATCCGTCTGAGTCCCAGCTGTCGTCATAATGGATGCTGGCCGTTAAGGACGTGCGTGGCGCCATCAATTATCATACCTCCTTCTCAACGTCCTCTTGGGTGAGTTTTCTGGCTGGCGTAGAGCTGATGTGAACTGGACTTGGCTGGCTCTGGCTGTCATCTGGCACCCCGTAAACTGACTGAGGAGAGCGTGGATATGAACGTTTCCTTTGAATGCTCCATTGCAAAAAAAAAAAAAAACACAAAATAATTCTTCCAGCTAGTTTCAGCTCTTCTCACCCTTTTCACCCTGTGTGGGTTCTTTTCTCTGCGACACTTGCGGATGTCCATCTCGGTGGTGTTGACGCAGCCTGGCTGTGGAAGATGGGTGGGAGCGCTTCTGAGTTAGATCACTGTGTTGCAATAACAATGCGCGATCATTGTGCTCAATGGTAAGCTGCTTCTATATTCCAGCTGTGGCCGGCTCTGCATTTGGTACCTGGGCCTTTACTGGAGACTTACCAGACCTTTATACCACCATAATATCACAATCATAGAAATAACAAAAGCAGCAGCATGTAACTGTATATCGAATACAGTTTGGAAACTATTTATCTAAATCTGACCAACACGAATAACGCACAACCAGAGATGCTGTTTAACATGTGCACATCACTACAGATTTTGCTCGTCCAACTTGGCTGTCACAAGTTTTATTCTGACCAATCAGACGATGCCAACGTCATTGTGCGCAAGCTAGCTGGCTCTTGTGCGCAAACTAGCTGGCTCTTGTGAGTTGAATTTGGAATCTAATTAGTAGTTAGACAGTCACATTGTCCATAGTCAGTACTAGAGTACATTGTTACTTTTGCCCATATTTGGTCAGTTCAACATTTTTTCCCACAAATCGATACTTTTGTCAGTTCCCATGTGGGACCAAAGAGCTTGCTCTTTTCCAATGGCCTGAATAGGCCATCAAGAACTGCACCACATTTATAAACAACAACAACAACAAAATTGCCTGAGCGATCTGCATAGGAAGGAGATATTTTTCAAGTTTTCCGTCCTTTCTCATTTGATTGCTTTTCAGTTTTACAACTTTTGGGAGTGACTCACCACTGGTCGATGGACATCCCAGAAGGCCCTCTCTTGGCTATCCAGGACCTTCCTGTCTGCCTTGTCCTTCTTTCTGTCAATTCTGACGAAAAGACAAAAAAAAAAAATAAAAATGCAGTTAGGGCTTAAAAAAAGTGGGAGCCCCACCACTCGATTTCATATGTTCTGTTTTGTCGTTTCTCAGGTTGTCGCAGAAATGGTATAGTGTGGTGTAAACGAAAGGAGTTTTGTTCCGAAGAAATCTGATTGCATACACCAGTTGAAAGGCAGAAGCAGCAAAACCGTAATTAGGAGTATGTTTTTTTGTCTTCACTTCTAGGCCATACATGTAAAAAATTTTACATACGTAACAGACGGCTTTGCAAAAACAAAAAACAACAAACAAAAAAACCCAAATAATTCAAATGGCTCAAAACGACTAAAAGTCAGCCATTATTTTTTTAAAGTGGGTCGTTATTCGAAAAATGGAACTTGAATGAAAATGTGTTGGCACATGATCGTCAACAGAGGGCAGTGTTGGAAAAATAAACTCAGTCATGTGAGTGGATGAGGAATATTTGGAGTTCAGACCAAAAGTGGGGTAGACAAGGAAAACATGCAAGCAGCGACTGCTTTTCTTTTCATTTATATAAAGTAATAGCAATCACACAGTGATGCCTCACATGACTCACTTGACTTGAGCTTCGGCCTGCAAGAAGATGAACTCCCACTTCCTGGCGAAAGCCCGCTGCAGTCGGGCAAGGTTCTCCTGCAGGACCCAGTTGCACAGCGTGAGGGAACAATCCATTCGAATCCCATGGAACATTATTCACAACAGTGTTCATTGGGATACCAGAGGAAATGTCCAATTTTACATCTGGAAATGATTTGATTTTACTCATTATTAATTATTCCTCAACCATCATGGCTAATTCGGACAAATTGGTTATTTCAGAGGTCATATATAAATGGGTGCCCTTTGAAGAAGTAGCTTAAAGTTTCAAAAATGTTGGTGAACCCTGCACGAGAGTTAAAACCACATTTTTTTTGTAGTCGACTATAGGACAAAAGTTGTTCATCAATGAATGAATTGATATTGTCACGCACAGTACAGCGGTGCGGCTTTTTATGAGACACTGGCTGGCTTCACATGAAGACATTTGATCTGAACAGGCACAGAAATATACAACTCACCATTAGTGGTTTTAATAAGCTGACGTCCTGCCCATGTTTCTCTCCAAGTGACGGGTAATGTAAATTGGCCGATAAGAAGACGACATTTCCAAAAACATTTCAAGTGATTACTCATCGATGAGTTAAACGTAAATGCACAGGGGTAAAGTGGATTAAATCGGTTCAAAGCCAAACACACATTTTGAGATATTTTTGTTTGGCGACACGCCGAGAGATTTCCCGAATGTTAATCATGTGGTCTGTCTCAATAAAAAGGTTGGAAAACACTGGATAAGATTATCACGCTAACGACTAGACGCTTTTGAAGGTTCACAAGACCTGGTCGCAATCTGCACACATACCGATTGTATTCTGGTGTATGTAATAAAAGTGCCCAGTAAGCATCTGTGATCAGAGCAACACATGACCCCGTTGCAAAGAGAGAAAACACTTGGATTAACATCAAGCGAGTGTTAAACAGGGAGCCTGATGAGGCCCCCCGGCCATAAAGTGACCTGGATATGCGAGAGGGGAAGTATGCTGGACAATCGTCGCAAAATCGTTGGGAATATTAACGCACACTGGAACGCTGTTGTATGATAATGCGAGCTCAGTGAGATGGTCAGTAATTCTTTTGATAACTAACTGTACCACTTGTTGCTCCTAAAAAATATATACATCTATACAAAAATGCATTTGCTAGATGACATAAAGTCTTGAAGTGTAAAACGTTAGCGAGCAAATACTTACAGACTCATAATCGGCGAGCTCCAGCCTGGCTTTGTTCTGCATGGTGCGCTTGCACAGGTAGATGGCTGCAGGGCCACATAGCAATGGAGCATGGAAAGGGCGCAAGAGTTAGTTTGAGATTACAAAACTTACAACTTACAACTTAAACAATTTTTTGCCAGCCCTACTAGGGGGCCGCATAGGCCGCACCCTTCCTAACCAGATACAGTATATGACAAAAAAGTATTTTTAACTCTTTCCGGGTCAGCGGTTACTACAGTGGACAGCTAATCAGGTTATTAGGTTATCATTATTTGTGCATGAAAGGGTTAAATGGGAGTGGGTTTTTATTTATTTTTTTTGTTTTGTTTTTTTTACATTAGACCAATGTACAGAACATTTATTTTTAATTGTTTCATTGCTGTCGATTTTTATAAAGCACAATACCATGGAGTGTTCATTTTATTTTTTTTCCCTCCAATTTCCAAATTCCTTGTGTGAAAGAAGTTTCTGATCATGACAGACACCAGAGGGACAGGGCTTTGGGACACCCCAGTCATAATCTTAACTCATCAATATATGAAAACTTTTGGGACGACTCAATTTGAGGAGGACAGTTTGGGGGAAGGTCTTTTTTTGTTCCAAAATGACAGACCTAGTCGACAAAGCATGGCAAGACTCAAGCAGCGAGTTCCAGTCAAGAGGCGGCCAGCAGCATTATGGACCAACTGGAAATGCTGAATGGAGGATTGCCTGACTCCAAAGTAAAGTGCATGACAGTAATACAGCCGAGATGTGACGAAGGCAATAAAATTACCTGTATTAATATTTTACTGTTAAAAGTGAGTGACCAACCAATGATTCGAAACTTCTCATTTTCATCTTCTTACAACACAAGTACTCCTGATATTTTTTCCTATACAGCGTACATTAAATTGCCCCTCTCAATCGTTGTCGTTTTCTGATTTACGATGTGTGACTCACCATAGTCTGTGTTCTCAGGCTCCCAGCAGTTTGAAGGCCAGTAGTACGGAGACTGGAAACAGAAGGATACAGCTTTGATTTTTCTTCTTGTAAAATCCACATTGCATTCTTTAGTGTCGGGGCAAAAAAAATAAAAAATTTGAATTCTTAGTTTGATGCGCCGCGTCGTATCTACGAGAGCGCTATACTCCGCTATCCATATTTAATTATCTCTTGCAACCAATGTTACGCACACGCAAATTCATTCCCAAGTGTGTTAATAATGCATTACTCCTATCTCGCATGCATTCTTAATAGCGGAGCAGAATTAGAACTTGGTGATATTGAACCATCTTTTGGTTTGCAATCTTTCAGCCGCACATTGTCAAAAAAGGAAAGCGGGTGACGATTTGGCTTGTTTTGCTAACGAACACACTGATGAACGACCTTTTTCATCTGCATTTAATCTGCATGTCAACTTTGCAACAGGGAGAGGTGCAGACACCTTAATAGCCAGAAACAGATGCAGATCATTAAATCTCTCCCTGTGTAGCAACGACCGGCAAATAAAGGTTACTGCTCAGGGCTGCATTAAAAAAATATATATTTTAAAGCAGCTGCTGTAGGTCAAAACTCATTCTATCTGACGTGATCTAACACGATAAATCCGCTTACCTTGTTATTCCGATGGCCTAAGAATGCACGTGGGGATTCGGTCACCTGAAAGCGGTAAAGGGTGCCGTCATCTTTGAGCGCCAGGACGTGGTCAGAGATGGGGAAGATGTAGCCGTGAGCAGCAATCAGACTTCCCAAGTGGATGGCCTCAGCTATGGAGACAAGGGTGGCTTAAAAAAAAAAAAAAAAAAAAAAAAACGGAGCACCAGTGTGCTTGCACGTAATGACTTGCACCATGCACATACCTGGATCGTCTATCGAGAGATTTTTCATCAGCCATTGAACAATGTCCACCCCTGTTCAGAGGGAGAAAATTGCTTTAAAACGGGTCACAGTGCCATGGCTGTCACGCGTTGCACAAAGGTTGCAATCTAAAAGAGACATTTGCTTGGGTTCCAGGTCACAACGGTCGAAAACGGCCATTTCAGAGGACTTCAAGCCAGGTGCAAGAACTTGGGAAAAGTAAAGGGGGAAAAAAATGGATTTCTACACCCGCTAAATTCACATTTTCAATGTACAGGTGAAATGAGACGGCCTTGGGTGAGTCGAAAATTCCCAACAATATAGGATTCGAAATTAATATGCTGGAGGGGGAAGATGTTGAAGTGACTTATTTCATATTGACCCATTAAAAAAATAAAGCGAAATATGTGTACAGTATATAAATACGCATACAATACAAAAGGAAAAAAATAAGTAGGCCACCATTTTCTTTTGGAATATGCATTTTATATTTAATACAAAGCACTGGGTGTTTTGGGAGTTTTTACTTGAGTACAGTGACACTTAACCACTGAGATCATGAGGTGTGCCGTTTGGAAGAATCGGATTTCACTTAAATGGTCCTAAAATGTACTCCAAATGTTTCTTTAGTCATCAGTCTACGCTTGCAACGTATAGTGACAGGCAGAACCATCAAATTCTCTTCCGGTAAATAACAGAAGGTACAATTAAGATGTGAATCCACATGTTGCCAGTCTCACAACAGAAGACTCTTAAGTCATGGCACGTACTCACTCAGAAAAAAAAAATGCAAGTAAATTGGAGAGATCATTTCAGTACACAATTCGATGTTTGTTCAGTGGAGTGTTATGAGACTCTTTCAATGTCGATTTTTTTTTTTTTTTTTGGGTAATAAAGGCTGGGTAAACACTGGTGCGTCTGTCACCCTTCCTCTTTCTGCAATGATGCCCTTTAAGGATGCACCTTACAGCAACGGGAGTCAAACTTTTTACACCAAGTACCACCTCAAAAAAACAAGAGGTTCTTCCGCGTACCACCACAACGAACAACATTCAAGTCATGTTCAAGTAGGGCCGGGTATTCAACAAAATGAGGTATAATTGCGAAAAGAAATCCTGTATTTAATATTTAGCCATTGTTATAGCTCTGAAAATAAAAATGACTAAAGTACAGCAAAAGTTTTGTACATAAAAAAACCCCGTAATTTTTAAAAAGTGTTGAAATGCTAACGTATCAAACTTAAGTCAAATACAACTAAATTTTACTTCAACTGTACTAGATTACAGTTCTGCACAGGTTGAATATTTAATACAGTGAGTCGTAGGAGTAGCAGCACACTGAGTATGACTGACAAATAAGGTTGAACTCGCTGAACTCTGCCTAGCAACAAGTCTGGACTTCATGTGCCCAGGGAAAACAATACTTTTACTATTGTAATCGTTCCTGATACTTCAAGTTCTTTGTATGATGTAAGAAACCGACATTTAAAAAGCAGCAAATCAATCCTATTTACACTAGTTTTCCTGGCATATACCCAACCATGATTTTTCACATTAAAAAAAAAACATCACTGAGCAAAGCTACAGGTCATAACCGTCTAAACGTGGAATTGCTTTCTCTGCTCCTGGACAGCACAATGTTTGCTTCATGTGCTCGTCAGCGGCGCGAGATTGAACGGCCGCCGGGTTGAGGAGTGACTCAAAGAGCCAGGGGACAAAGATGATTCATGGAAGGCACACATGGAAGGATCGCGGGTGCCTACGTATAAAAACAGCAGAGGGGGCAAGTAGCGGCATTACTCCGCGACAAGGTCAGCGGCCCACTCCGGGCGCTCTCCTCAGTGACAGTGGTCTTATGAGCAACGACATCACCAGTTTCCAGCTGTGACAGCAGCAAACTAAAGCCGCCCACCAAAAGGTCACGTTAGCTTGATTTAGCGTTAGCGACTCATACGTTTGTCGGGACCGAGGGCGGCTTCACTGATGCCGAACGTGGACACAATGTGTTGCGCTCACCTGATACCACACTGGGGATTTTGGACAGGAAGCTTTTGACAGTACGGATGGCGACACCTCCAGCTTTCTCATCTTGTATTCTTGAGACGATGTTCTCAATCTGGAAGGAGGTTCGCATGTTATCACAACGTATGGATTTTGTTTGAACACTTATCGGTCAGGTTAAACTTGACCGGTTTGGGCGACAGGAATAAAAAAAAAAAAAAAACAAGTTATTCTTTTACCCGGAAATTTTCCGTAAGGGTCCTAACATACACAAAACTAAATATTTTTACGTCACTCTTTTGTACAAGCACGCCATTGTTTGTGTACACTAAGGCTGTTGTTTCAAATTTACTAAAATGGATGTTGGATTTGCTGGTGGGGGGGGATCAGAGGGAAATAGTAGTGGTGCTAATCTTGTAACTGTCATAAGTATCACAAATATACGGATCCATGCTTTGAACGTTTACCGAGTCATCTGTTCGCTTGACAACATGGACATCATTTGGGAATCACTTCAACTCCCAAGACGACGACACAGCCAGGAGTCCTTTTGCCCTCATGTAATAATGGAGCTTAGAGTTGCGGCACGGTGAGAAGCAGCCATTACCTGCCTTCAGGATGACGCCACATCGGACCCAGTTAACGGAAAGAGGCGCCTCCTATCTCTTGGATGTAGGCACTTATGGCAGCTGTGGAGGACCTCGGAGAACGGAACATGGTTGCGACCACGCAATAACGGCTCTTTTGTTCCTCGCTCTAACCATTATCTCAAGGACACTTGTGTATCTCACAAGCGTATATATAAACACACACACAAACACACACACACACACATTATGCATACAAACGCATTCTGCACACTCAGGCGGTATCTTTGGATTCGTAGCATGTGTGCGCAAATTGGTATGAAGGTCCAAAGCCTTAAAAAGCAGAGGCACAATCCATCTAACCTTTAATCACTTACAGTGGAGGCAAACAACCCCCCACACTCACATCCATTTACTGCCTATGATCAATTTAGTCTTCAGTTAACCTACCGATTATTTTCGTGATTAAAAATTGGCAGCATTTAACACTTTACGGGATTTCAGGATTTAGCCAACAAATGTATTAAACACATTCTTCCATCAAGTACTGGAAAAGCAGGACATGTGCCTTGTGTCTGCAATTTGGTGGCAATTTTTCAATTTTGTCATACCATTTCTTTCATTTTTTTTTTTTTCGCCCCCATGTGCCATTTTGACCTCTGAGACATACTGGGTGAATAATGAATGTGTTCCAGCTGGTGTGTGATGCTCTGCGGGGTGAGGTGAGAATAAATCCCCCCCTCCTAAAACATGACACACACACACACACACACACACACACACACACACACACACACACACACACACACACACACACGGTTGTGTTGCCAAATCACGATGTATCTGACACTGAGTGCAGAGGAAAGCTCAACACGACAGACTGAAACCTTTGGAACGTAAAGGTGGGCAAGTGGGCGTGGGAGGGGTTATCCCAGGTGCACCATCATAATCCACTGTACTTACACGTCAAATCTTGGCCATTTGTATGGTAACCACAAGTGAAGCGCCATCCGCCAAACATATTTATAAAATTGCCATCGCCACAGGAACAACCAGCCAAACGAAGCCCTTTTTTTTGTCCACAATCAGCTCCCGCTGCTAAAATACAGTACAGTACAGTACTTGGAAGTACAGTGTATCGAAATTTGTGACACCTAGTGGTGAACGAATAGATTGCAAGGACCTAAATTTGAAGCGCGTGCATTTTGAAGGATGGGCACTACGGTGACCCAAAGAGACCATACTTTGCATATTTATCACCACCTTGTTTTAGCACTAGAGCTAGCGAAAACGTAATCCCAAGAGATTTCTAGCAATTTATCGAGAGGAGTAAGTGCATGGCCATTTTACACTTGCTTTATACGTATATGTAGTTATGAATATGAGGAACTTCGATTACCAAATTTGATTCCTTCGGGTATCTGTAGCAAAAAGATGGTGTCGAAAAATGCCAGCCTCCTGTCGGGGAATCGCACTCTATGTAATATAATTAGCCATTACTTCACCGACAATAACTTTTAAATATTACGTTGATGTGATAGAACATTTTTTGCATATTTAATTTTTTGTGTGTTTTTTAAAAGAATACACATTGAATAATCAACTTTTTTTTCACACTGTCACTTTAAAACAAAACATTGGAGTAAATGGCTTTCATTATAATCCCTGTAATCATTTGTCCAGATGGATTGTAAAAGCACTAAGATTAATTGAGTGAATGCAGATGACGAACAACAAATCCCTCAAATGCAAATGATGTTCTGAGTCGTTTGGAAAGTTGAGCATATCTCAGACAAACGCCACTAGCTAAGTGACATAATTTGCACTTGCTACACAACCACAAGCCTATCCCATTGAGAATTACCATTGGCATTCGTGAAGAGTAACTAAGTACAAATACTTAGTCACTGGATGGAACACTTTGTTTTTCTAGGCATCCAATTCTTTTCTTGAGTATTTGAAAACATTTGAACGTTCTTCTCCTTTATGTTTATGTTTTTTTCCAACTTCATATATGATGCAAATTAAATGGAGACGAAGTTAACCGTGGGTGAGAAAGCTCAACAGATTTGGAGAAGCAAAATATTCCTCATCCTTGGCATCATTAAAGGGAATTTGTTGAGGCAGGGTGCTCCAAACATTTGTGGTGAAGGAATCTCAGCCTCAAAATCATGAGCTGCTAGCGTTCAAAAATGGTCTAATCTGGAAAAAAAATAAACACAAACTGTATTTATTTAGGGTTTGTTATTTCAGAATGTTAGCAAAGCTATTGCAACACGCTTTGGTAGCATTAAACCAACACTAGCTAGCTCTTGATATAAACGAACTTTTGTTGGACCGAGTTATCAAAAACTTACTTTCCAAGTGTGCTCTTAAGGAGTCAAATAACTACTTTTGCCTTTTTTTTTCTTTCAACACACATATCTTTATTTCAACTCAAATAGAGACTGCGAGTATTCATCACCTTTATTTACTTTTTGCCATTGCTTGAAGACACTGGTGACTGCTACACTAATTTCAAAGCTCATGCAGCTTTCAATTTTCTGCCTTCAAATTTCAGAGCTTTTCCTTCACATCAGGCGTTGCCCTGCGGAAATCCCAATTTAATGATCTCCAACTTGATTGCCCGCCGAGTCGGAAGCTTCTCGGGGGTGCAACGCCCTGAGATCCAGAAGTGTCCAGCTGGGATGCCGCGCCACACTTTGAACCAATCACATGTAAACGTTGAATCGGTGAGTGTTAAGGACACCAGTGGCTTGTCTCGGCCAAATAAGGATCCCTACAGAGGAGCATTCAGATGGACGAGTATTTGTGTGCGTCTGTATGGCAACTGTGATAAGAGGAGCTCAGCAATTAAAAGCCTGTCAGTTTCCAGCTCCAGCATGGGTGGCCTTCTAGCTTGACTAAACCATTGTAGATAAAGCTTGGCGTACCTTATTGTCAATGTCAACTCATTCCTGTAAAAGGAAGAAAAGAAAAAAAAAACTCAAGTGGTGAGCAATTAGTTCAGAGCGAAATGCAAAAACACAAGACCAGCTAATCCATGGGGGGGGCGCATGGGGTCACCTTGCTGCTGAGGAGACTCAAGGAGGCCAGAAAAAGATGCTCTCCCCTCTTGTAATTGTCTGTTGTTAGCTACTCCATGTGTTGCTAAGGGCTTGAGTGGAGTAAAAACAGGAGTTTGCACCGATAGTCCACTCAGAGACAAAGTGCCCTGTGCAGATATGAGAGTACAAAAGGGGGGGTTACTAATAAAAGAGCAGCTGTCTGAAGTGAAGTGTATCAGCAGCGTCCTGATTTTGCTCCGAGCACCATGAAGGGGGCCGGGGGTTGCCAAGGGCCTGTCAAAAATGAATCACCACTAGCAAAAAGGTCATTTGCTCGGGAGGGAGCGAATCACATTAGTTCACCAGGGAGATTGCTTACGCAAGCGAGCCATGCAAAAGCAATTTCCATTCAGCGCGGGCTTCTATCAACCTCAAACGCCTTGTCGTCCTCCTGCATTTGCAGCACCTGAGAGACTCTCTCAGCATGACGGCATACATATGCTGAACGAGTCGAACTACTGACGTAAATGGAAAGAGGGACATGCGCCGTATGGGCAGGAGTATCGGGACACCTGGCCATTACGCTCACAGGAAGAGGAACAGATGCAGAGGGTCCCCTGTGGGTTGCCAATGCCCCCCGGGCACCCTTGCGTTTTTGTTGCATTTATAGGCAATAGTTGAAATAGTTTTCGGGGGAATGTCAATTACTTTCGGATTTGCGTTCCTCATGACCGGGCTCGGTCAGTGAACGGCGAAGCCTCTTCCTGAGACCCTGGAACAGGGCAGGCGACCCAGGCAATTGGCCCCGAGGTGAAGGAGGCCTTGAAAGATGGAAGACTTTGCATCGTTCGCTGGGGCATTTCCGAACTCTCAAACTCTAAACTACGACGTATAACTCATTGAAAAGAAAACATTAATTGCATTAACCATCAAGCACAATTGGCATTTTTGGTTTTAAGCGAGTCACGAGTCAATATGCCTTCACTGTTGGGGATTTCATTTATTTGGTTGTGTCTTGATCATTTTTTAAAATATAATGTATTTAATTGTGTTCAGTGCTGATAGTTATGCATTTTTCACGTCAATAAAATATATCTTGCTTACCCATATTTTTTTGGAGGGGTGGGGGGGGGGCTTGAACACTTGAATTCAGCTGCCAGGGACCCAAGCGGGATACAATGACAAAAATTCACAAATAGATACCCCACCTAAAAGTTGACTGAATTTGTTTGCTATGATCCAGATTTTTATATTTTTAACTCATAATATCCTGGAAAAAAAAGATTAAAAAAAAAAATAGCCCCCAAAATGCTTGGACATGGTGTGCGCCACAGCTTTACAACCAATACCAATTACTACTTTCCCATTAGACATTTTATTACAATTTTGGCGAGTATTTGAAAACTTGTTTCTTTCTTGCGCGCATGGCATGCACGGGTGTGTGTCGTCATTTTCTTTGCTTCATTTACGTATCCAACTAG